ATGTACAGCTTCATGTTATGTATCAGTGAAGCACTTCAGGTTGCTTATATTCAGAGCAAATACGATAAATTTTTCACACATAAGTTTTCAGAATTAATTAAATAACTGAGCCGTGTAGTTTGAAAGTGGCCCAACTCCATTTATACTTACATCAAGATATTTACTATTGATAATGTCGAAAAGCAGTGATGAAGGTAATTTCAACTAATTAGTATTTACAAGTTAACCTAATTTTTGGGACAATTGCGTTAGTTGAATAACCTGTACGTTTAATTAATATAAAACTTAAAATTTAATATTAAATTTTAGAAATTATTTCACCCATGAGGAAAAACAGAACAAGACCATTAATTAGTTCAGATAGTGAAGAAGAAATAGTAACTAATAATTTAAAAAAAAATCGAAAAAGAANGACAGGAAGATTTTGTATCAACAAAATTATTAGAAGACGCAATTTTTAAAAGGGCAAAGAATTCTGATGGAGAATCAGTAAACTGGTTAAGAATATGTTGGATGCGTTTTGTCAGAAATGAACCATATAAAATTTTATATAAGACATCAATGAATGAGGATGAAAATTTTAAAGTCCTGAATTTATTACCACGTCGGGGCAGACCAAGAAAGTTCGAAAATATTGTATTGACACCATTGTATAAAACTATTAGACAAATTACAACAGCAAAATTTAAGGACATAATTGACCTATTACGATACATACCACCAGAACATCATGATTTCTTCAAATCACTTTCACACGCACAAAATGTAGGCGAATAGTAAATTGTTTTGTAATAAATTTATGTTTGTAATTTTCTATGTTCTGTAATTAAAAAATGTTTTAAATCGCATAAATTATGTTTCCGAAGTGTTTTCAAGATATGTAAAACAAATTCAGTATTGTTTTTTTCAATTTGAAACATCTTAAATTATGTTGAATGGACTTGGGCACCTTCAAATTTTATAATGAATCTGGCTGTTAATTTTGAAAGTGGCCCAACTCCATTCTTGATAAGAAAACGCACGTTATTTACTTAATAATTGCCACTATTTTAACAGGAACTTTAAATTTAACATCCTTAGATACGCTTAAGCAGTATGACTCATTAGTATCCTATACGTATATTTTTAAATTCATTGAAACGCAAAACTTTAAATATCTCGATTTGAAGATAAATGGAGTTAGGCCACTTTCAAAATAAGCGGCTCAAATATTGAAAACCGAGACAATCACTTACCAGGCATGCAGACACATCGGAAGGTCCCAGGATCGTCCAAGCAGGAGCCGTCGTTCTGGCATGGGTGGGATTCGCACTCGTTCACGTTCGTCTCGCATCTTGGTCCGGTGAATCCTTGCGTGCAGTTGCAGGCGAACGAACCGGGCGTGTTTACGCAGATGCCGTCGTGTTCGCATGGGGATCCTGTACAGGACGAACACAAGAATATTATGAATTGTTCGCAGCGTTTAGAAGTTGCTTAGTCATTGTCTGAGACAAGAATAGGGACGTGAACTTAACCACTGAAGCAGTTTTTGTAGATTCTATACATAATTGTTAGACAGCGGATTTGTATGCAAAATAAAAATTTGTCCGCGTCAATTGCAAAAAATAGTAACTAAATAGCAAGTCCATTTTTTGTTTAATCGTTTGAATAGATTAACACTCGGACGGCGCAGACCCCGGTCTATTCGAGCCCGGAATTTAAAAATTGTTATTCATCTGAATGACAAGTTTCGACAAATGTGTGGAAAAGAACGATGTGTGAAGCGATAAAATTTATGCCGAGCATAGTCAGTTATATTTTTGCCAAAATAAGTCCGTCATTTGAGTGTTAAAAATAACACACTGCCATTTCTCAGTTCTTTTAATTCTTTTATTATTTTATATTACATTTACCCAACCTCGTCGTAAATGATCTAATTGTTTATATATTAAGTAATTATTAGTAATTAATTAATTTATATATTAATTATTGAATTAAGCGTTGTCTAATAATTAGACTGCGGATTTATATTAGACTACGGTCTATAATTAGACTTACATTACTTTCGTTTCAATAAAATTGTTAAAGAAACGAGGACGTTCCTAACTGGCTCTTGCGTTTTACAACAGCCGCGGAACAATTTTATTTCACATAAAAATCCACGTTCTACTAGTAATTACCATAAAAGTAAATCAGCGATGGGTTTGACGCGAGAAGAACGGAGATTTCCAATAGAATAGAAGAACCTTTCGGAAAACGCTTAATTCGAGGCATGTAGATTTGGTCAACAGTGCATCAATATATGCAACTACGTTAACACGTTGAATGCCACGGGGATCACCGGTGACCGGCACTTAACTTGGCGGTGACGCCATGATAGAAATATATACTACTGTGATCAAAAAGTAAGGTGAATTTGTTTATAAAATGTAAATTCTTTATTTATTCTTCCAAATCAATTTCATCCCCTTCAAAGTAATCCCCGTCCGATAAAACGCACTGTTTCCGACGCTTTTTCCAGTCCTCGAAACAGTCGGAATAGTCTTTTTCCGGTATAGCCTTCAAGACCTTCTTCGATTCGGTTTTTATCTCCTCAATCGTGTCAAAACGGCGTCCCCGCATTGGCTTTTTGAGTTTGCTGAATAACCAGAAGTCGCACGGAGCCAAATCAGGCGAATACGGTGGTTGCGGAACGATATGAGTCGAGTTTTTGGCAAAAAAGTCGCGAAGAACCAATGCAGTATGACATGGCACCAATCGAGACTTGACGCGTTTGAGACACAAAACATCCTTCAAAATGGTTTGGACTGAGCCAAATGATATTCCAACACTATCAGCGAGGTCTCTTATTGTCAATCGACGATTTTCAAGCACCAAATCTTCGATTTTTT